ACTACCGTAAACTTTTCAGTGGATTCATCATGAAGGATGGGTTGACCAAACAGGAATTTGTGAATTTCTTGAACAGTTGCAGGGAAGAGGCTGCTGAATTGAGAGAAACTCTACAGACCTTGGGGAAGAGAGAATTGGATGCACGAATGATCTCAAAACAGGGAAGCCACTAGGAATGGGATTTGTGAACTGAGGGGAGTTACGAAGAACAGTGGTAAAGCGAATAATTCTGCACGTATATATGCAAGTGCCCGAAGCTGTCGCGCAGATTGATAATATAAAAAAAAAGTGAAATAGAACGTATGCTTTGCTTTGATTCCATAATCGGACAGCGTGGCTTGGACAATCCGAAATCTCGTTATCTTACTGCCCTGCAACTCCAAGTGAAGAGCAAAAGAGGAAAAAAGAAAGTTTCGACATTTTCTGTAATATAACATCTGTGACGTCCGTATTGCGTTTATAAATATCCAGCCCAGACGGAATAATATCTATGCCAAATATGGAAGCTACTTAGATTGGTAGTTTATCTATAAATGAGGTACATTATTTTGAATTTCTCTTTGTAAAGACTGACAATGTTGTCTATCTATGTGGCTTCTCTGCTAAGTTAACTCAATTTTTTTAGTTGATTTTTTTGAAACTGTTGTTTAATAGTGGACATTTCACCTTCAGAAGTTAACTTCCACTTAAATTGGTGTTCACATGCTTCTTAGTAAGGAAGAATAATCTATATGTAACTGTAATTTTCTACAGACTTTTGCGCGTAAGCTAACTACAGGCATATAGAATGACATAATACATGTATTTCTCTATAATATAACAGTTTAAAATGCTAAATGGAGGAGAATATACATTTAGAAAGAAAATTCGCTAACGACAGTAGACCGTTTTAAAGGGAATTAGGATTGTTATTTGGGAATTACTCTCCAATACGGAAGAAAAGTCTGAATGGGGAGTCACAACATACACATTAATTTGACAGGCGTCGCCTAGTGAGAATACATGGAATAGGAGAGATGTCTAAGAAACGTGTGCATATTGAGAAATGATTTACATGGCACATAAGCCATTGCTACATAATGTCTGCCGTGATAAATTCGTAGAAGTATGGTTATTAATGTTGGAACTTCAGAAGGGTAATTTGAACACTTAAGAAATGATAAAATATAGGCAAAGAGAAACAGGAAAACTTAAGATATGATGATGTTATTCCCTAGGAATAGGACACATTGTTTAATACCATGTCAGGGGGTTAGAATAAATCAATGTAAATATTAAGATAATACATTGAGGAACCCCCTGCTAGCATACAACACCACGACACAGTTACCATATTCATGTAATACATAACATGTGGAATTATTTAACAAGAGGAATACTAAGAATGATAGAAACTATTCTGCATATGTATCCGCGTTGTTTAATTTAAATGGGGCGTTATTAGTGGAATATTCTTTCTATTACACAGGAAGGAGTTCATTCTAAAGTTCCTTAACATAATTAAAAATCTTTTTACATGCTTTCCAAAATGGAATAAATTATGCGCACATTTTTATGTCAGGGGGGGTCGAGTGTTCTGAAAGTAGAAGCACTTTTTGAAGTCGACTTTTAAATTATAATATTAACGGAGCGTCACATATATATAAAAAAAAAAAAAATGGAAAAAGGAAAAAGAAAATAAAAAGATAACTAAAAAAGAAGAGAAGAACAAAAAAAAAGAAATAAAACAAAAGAAGGAAGAAAAGGAAAGCGAAAAAAATAGAGAAAAAAAAAAACAAAAAAAAAGAAATAAAAAGGGCCCCATCAGGTGGAATAATATATATACCTATAAACAGCTGAAAAATCTTTCCGTGGCGGAATATACGAGATTCTGGTGATAAAGGATGAGGAAATCCTGTTTACCTGTCTAGTACACTATGTGTCACTGTGTGACGAATATATGAAAGCAGAAAATATGCAAGAGAAGATTCAGAATATAACGGCTTCCAGATCCCAAGAGGACGAAAGCGACACTTCACTAGAGAGGATAACCATTTAAAGGATTATAACAGGAAAGTGAAAATGTGAGTTTTCACGTACATAAGAATACTCCATTAGATATCACACAACTCATAAGAAGAATCAGAAGACGGGGTCACCCTGTGATTTGACACATTTCGATATAATGCAGGGGTTACCATCATATATATTCTAGTAAAATTAAGGACGGAAGTGGACGAAGACTGTGGTATCTTACCGGATGGGTTATATGATGATCACTATTTAGGCAGAGGGAGGCCTGTTCCCGCAATACCATATTTATAAATGTTCTTCTTCCGTGTCAAATTTGATGAATTCCGTTTCGCAGAGAAATCACCACAAAGTTCCTTCTCGTTCGATCCTACTAAGGATGCCCTCAATTCTTTCAGTAAAACATACATTAATTGTTCTCTCATTGGAACAATAAATATCGCAAAAAATGGCATAACTTCTATTTACGTTGATAAATGAATGATAGGCGATTTTGTAATTACAACTTTACGGCAGACAGATCTGATATGTAAGTAGTGGACCTCCTAGCCTTCGAGAATGCTGTGGTAGTTATGTTTACTTGTTTTTTTTCTCTACTGTCAACTCATGATTTTATCTCTAAGGATATTTTATCAATGTGTGATTCCTACTTCGGTGTCTTGAGTTGGTTGTGCCCTGTTTCGTACAGAACCGTCCGGGTGGAGTTAAGCATTTTCTATAAATTCCACGTTTCCGTCTGTCCGATAGAAGAGTGTCGCCCAATTTAGTAGGTGCGTGGGAATGCAGAATCCCATAGGCCATGTTTATCATTAAATGAAACAGATGGACAATAATCTTTTTGCACTTCTTCCGTATGTGTCTAGGCTGTTATGTATAAGGAGTATTTAAGAGAACAGATAAATGGACTACTCTCAGGAACCCTCTAGGAGGATTATTACGAATAGCAAATTCAACATTCTCCATTTGGGCATCTCCTCTACGTTGTATGTTACGGAAAATTTGTCTCCCTCAACATTCAAGATGACGGGGACATATAATGGTAGATGAAATGTTTCGCGGCCTTCAGATATGTTCCCGCAATCATGAGTGGCAACTGGTGAGTTGCCTTTGACAGGTGTTTCGGATTGCAATTGTGCCCAACCGTGGGGTTGATTATCTTCCTAATTTGTTGACTATTTCACTTACTTGATGTCCATGTGTCTAGAAGTACGTGTCCCTTTCCTTTTCCGGGTAGCATTCCCTCGCCTATCTCTTTACTCTGTAATTATGAGACTTCTCTCAGGTCATCTCACGTTAGGGCATTCATATGAACACCATTGCAACGTAACATGTAGGTATGCATGTCATATTTCAGCCCTCAAGCTGTTCTGCTCAAGCTATGTCATTATCATGGTGGTGAGCCCCCTTGTTTTATTCTTCGTTCGCCTGTTCCTATATGAGGCCTGTAAATCTTTGTGTCTTATACTCAGGGGGTTATTTTTTTTTTTTCTGGACATCCCCAAGGATATCCTTTGTGTATCTGCTATGTTTGGGGATGTTTCCATATTCTATTCCTTCGAACAATTTCCTATGTGCCCGTTCATGTAGAACCTCACGTCTTGTGAATTCTATTGCTCTTTGCATTCATCCAGTAGCATCATGAATAGCGTTATCAACAGTTCCGTCTGTAGTCCCTTATCTGTAAGTACACACACTTCGTGGTTATGCACCCCCTTCTTTTCTTTATCGCATCTTGTCCCCGACGGGTTATCAGTCGTCTCATGTATTACATACTTGGTTGTGTCCTTTTGGTAGAGCCTGATAACTTTATCAGACAAACTATCTGGAATGTACTGTCTCATACGTATGTGTTCTTTTGAAACCTAATTGCTATATACACTTCCTCGCCTTTGTATGAAGAGATTATGTGGTTTCCCGTTAAATTGATTGCTTCAGGACATTACATTTCTTTCAACCCATTGTTTTTCCCTTCTGCGTCCTTTCTGTAAATTGTGGAACTAACTGTTCTCTTTGAACATATCAGAGATATAGGAATATTTATGTTCGAAACTATGCCACTAATGTTTTGGTATGTACAGATCACCATAGTTGTGTGCATCTGTTCCCATTAGGTTTCTCCGTCAGGTAATTTCACCTATCACACCTTTATTTATCATAAATGTGTGCACGAGTACTTGGAGGAGATGCTCCATCGTCAATTTGCATTCTTCTTTTTTGATTCATGTAGAAGTTCTGTATGTATACATAGAATCTTCTACGGAACGTCTGTTTTTCATTTTGGATGTATACACTCTTTGGGATGGCTTAATTACATATTAACTACTCATATTCAAGGTCGCGCAATGGTACGTGGTCATTATCATATATACTTCTTTCTTTGGCAGTCATGGCCACACATTACTGTCCGTATGTGTACCCTTCTTCCGGCTTTGCGCTTTCTGGGTTTCAGGGGAAACTGCGATTCTAAGGGCGTCTATTGCTCTAGGGAACAAAGTTGGCACGAGGAGTTGGTTCTGCTTCCCTGGCGTCTTCTAAATAGTGATCACAGTGCAGTAAATGATATTTTTTGCGTGTGTATATATATACATATATCTATACTTCCCTAAGAAAGGTAACCTCTGTAATGGGCCCCCCAAGTGTTAAGATAATAGGTAACACCTCAATAAAGGCAATGGCATCATTATATAGTGTTTGGGAGGCTACGCCGCGTGTGGGGTGTCGTTAGGATTGTCAGTTCCCTGTCCCAAAAGTCGTAAGCATAAGGACAGAGGGGGGAGCATCCGTAGCACTTAAGGACATTATGTACTCCCCACAGCGCAGAATTTATGTGTGATGGGTTGTGACAGATTTGCATAAATTGATACGTAAAGGACAGCTGAAGGTGGATCAAATACAGTGAACCTACTCATAGAAGGAATTGCCAGTGACCACCTTCGGGTAATATCCACGGCTGGGGGATTGAATGCGGGAGACCTTCAATCTGCACGTACAATATCAGGAAATTGAATAGTTCGGACCGTAAGTACACCTTCCCAAACTTTACTTATTTTACATTTATATTTTCCGTGTGTATACCCGGTGTCATTACTTTCAACCTTTCAACACTGAGAACTGCAGTAGAAGTTGATATTGATGCATTCTTACACCTGCTGAGGAATTTGATTCCTGAAGGAGCTAGCACGTTTCAGATGTCCACTTAAATATTTCAGAATCCTCATCGTTGCTCTGACAATTTTTCCATGGGTGACGTCCTCTTATTTGGGGTCACAAGATTTGAGGGAAGTTTTGAATAATAACCTAGGCGTTGAAAGATATTGTCAGACGGAGTAACTGCTGTAAAGTTCCGTTCGGATGAAAATGTATCAATAGTTGCTGTTCGTATAAGATTTTTATTCGGTATAAGGGTTTTTAGCGTATGCAGGCACTGTGTTCCTTTGTGCCAACGTAATGAAAGTCGCAAGAAGAATCCTTTTCATTCAGGAGTCAAGTACGAGAAACGTGTGCACATGCCAGTTCGAACAGTATGCACAGGAGTTCTACCGTTCTCATTAGACCTTCCCTTATTGTTTCGTATGAGTAGTGAGGATTCCTAAGGAAACCAGAAGATGTAGTAATGGTCAAATAGAGGAGCAAAGAACCCAACATATTCACATAAGACATGTCCCTGGGGTGTTCTTGGGGGGTGAAAGTTGTGATAGGATATTTATAAAGTAGTGTGTGAAATCACGTAGAATATTGTTTCAATGAACACATTCGATGTGTGTGTTATTACTGTGGTATTGTCCTTTACTATTATTCAGAAAGGTGCAGGATGTGTTCTTATATATCTCGCATGGAGTTCCGGGTACTCAATGCTACCCTTTATAATGTGGGTGGGGTTAAATATCTTCAACTAGTAATTTCCCCTATATTACATTGTGTATTATGTTGACCTCTTCGTTTTACATAACCTTACCATCCTTGATATGCTCACCGATAATGTGTGCATGTTCTGAAATATCATGTAATAAATACATAGTGGCTTATGAAAGAAAAAATTCAGACATTGCGGATATGTCCTGAAGAAATAGTTGCAATAGTGGTGAGGCTATGTATATTATATGACCTAGCCCAAAAAATACAGTTCTGAAAGAATCTGCGCTCTAACTGACCACGTTTTCCGATTTGGAAAAGAGTGTTTTCTTTCAATAGAATAATAACAATCGAATTAGGAAGATAAGTATTGTTTATAAATCCGTGTTATATTGATAAAGTGTGCAGAGGAGCTCGCCCTGCCGATTAAAGTCAGTCGCTTGATCATGAAGTGGGACGTAGCCTGTTCGTTACTTATCTATAAGGGAGTACATTAAAATTGGAAAGCAGCTGCCAAGAAGGAAGGGAGAAGAAAGGATTGTACTATTATACAGTGCGTGCCGTGTCAGGATACGCCATGTGGTAAGACTGTGGCGCTTCAGACATCACATATGCATTTATCGAAAAGTGTAACATATACTCTTAATTTGCCAACAGGGGAAGAATGAGATATAGATACCGCATAGAGGACGGCTTCATACCGCTGAGTTAACCATCTTTTTTTGGATAAAAGAGGATATTTATAAATTCTCCGTCCTTTCCTGCTTCCAATGTTCACTTTTTTCTGACTAATTAGTTTTCCTTTATTGTTGATCGTGAACAGTTTCAAGGATTTCTGGTAGCTATTTTTGCGCGATATAAAGGTAAGCACACGTGCAGTAATTCCTTCTTAATAATGCATAAAAACAGGCGTGCGTGTGAAAAAGGAAAAAAGAGAATTGAAACACGTATAATACATAGCATGTCGTCTCATTAAATCGTATAGGAGGCGTATATTCTGGGATTTAATTTCGTTCCTAAAGTGCCTCTTCCTTGGAAACTTATGTGTGCTTCGTTATTTATGGACGGATTCCATGCACTGTCCAGATATTATGAGGTAAGAAAGGATACCCTCTTGGCATGGTGTTTTGAACGATGTGAATCACACAAAATATACCGCTCTGGTTTATATGATATTAAATGTAGGACCCCAATCAGAAATAATATGTAACATAAATTAATTTTTATATATAATTTTGGGGAATTATTTTATGGAGCTCAGGCTAAGAAAAGGTGACTGCGTAATGTTTATAATATATCGTACAACATGAAGACAGGATGGTAAACAAAGCGGTAGAATCAATGAAGTGTACAGGCGCCGCAGCCTGCGGAAAAAAAATGTTTCATCCATTTCAATTTTTTTAGAGATTTTTACAGAGAATAACGTAATGAAACATTCCAGAAAATGAAAAAAATAGAAACGCTCTACAGTATCCCATCTTTTGTTTACTACGATGTATGTGTGACGATTACTTTATGTACACCTAATGCTAAACTTGATCGCAGAAAAACCATCACAGCGTGGAGATGCGTTCGAATATAGTCTCTACGAAATACTGCGTAATATGTGAGAGTCCCCCAATATGCTATCCCCATCTTGTGAATGAGTCCTTTCTTATTATTCTTCATTAGTTCATTACGTAATTGAATCTGTCTTTGTCCAAATTTTGAAGGACCGAAAGAGGAGTGATAAGTCCTATGCTAAAATTTCCCCCCTGAGGTGGCGGGGGTAGCATTATTTGGTCTATCGTATAAATAGTCCTATGTAACTTGTATTATATTCGAATGTTTACTGACCAGTTTATATTCTTCTGATGCGTGCCGCAATTACTTGGATGGTACCTGGTCCTTAGTACACGGATTGTGGTATTGTATGACGTATAATGTGGAGCAGCATAGGGAAAATATATTTATGGAGAATTCAATTTTAACATAGTGAATGTGCATAGAATCTGTACCCGCAACAATTTTGAGCAGCATGAAGGGTTCCACTGAGACGGAGATAGTGTGAAGGAAATTATGGTTGAAGACGGTTCCGCTCGATAAGATCTAGGGGGTGAACATCTGTTCTTGCGATGCCAGGTATGTATGCCTGCTGCTTCCTACAGATACTGGGGAGAATTTTTTTCCTTTTTTTTTTCCCTGTCCTTTCTTTGCGACACTGAGATGGGTTTCCGACGTAGTTTGGAAAAAAGTAAGTGCACAGAAAAATATGAACAGGTGTAAATTTGTTTATACAGAACAGCTGTCAACAGGCGTATATGCATTCTGAAAATTTAGATAGACACTGACCACGACACCATCGCGAATTCTTTAAAAAACACCTGGATGCTGCTGTTAACATGACATAATTCTATCACCAGACACGCGTGACAGAAAAAATGTGTCTTAAACAGTTAAACAATAGGACTGCGTTCGCGTTACCACAAGAATCGCATGGCCAGATTGGAAAAGAATACATAAATCCGCTCCTCATACGTTAAATATTATGGTCATTACATAACACTTCGCGACCAATACTCTGTGCCTCATCGAGTAGTGAACGAAATTGGTTGTCCCATATGAACAGAATGCATTTTGAAATGAGAAGAATGGCAATGTGTAGATATTCATTTATTTTAATAGAGGGGGGTTGTTCGAATGTACACATCGCGAATCTTCGTGGAGGCATTCATATGACATGGGTTTCTTCATGTTGTACATAAGTAATAGGTATTAATAGTGATTGCTGTGTGCGGATCACGTTAATAATAAATGGTTTCCGCCTTATAAACATGCCTTGGATAGCGTCCTATAGGAATGAGAGAATTTTTAATTATTTATAGCAATGTGAAGGAGGCCACTCTTAATATATCATTCATTGTTTATATGTCTATCCAAATTTAAGACACTGAGACATATTTAAATATATAGCAAAGATGAGCACTTCATATAATCCATTATGGATAGG